GGGTTTGGCTTCGCTCCCAGCAGCTCCAGCACAAGCAGGGAGGCGGGCGGGGGGCTCACGCAGCCGCGCTCGGTGGGAGTTTTGCGCTCGAGCAGTCGGTTCCGAAAGGCCTGGCAGCTGCCGGGGCTCCCCTTGAACGCCAGTTACCACAGAAATCTCGGGAACAGAACCCGTGGCGCTCTGGCCGACAGGACCGCTGAAAAGGCAGGAGAGAAGAGGAGGATAACGTGCTGGGAAAGTAACGGCCGCCGCTAAGAGGAGGTCCTAAACTTCCTCTTTAACCCCAGTTCACTGCCCTCTGCCCCAAGTGAAAGTTACAACCTTTATTAATCGTTATTTGCAAATCGAGTGAATCAAGATGATCTTCGCTCTCCTCATTGTTCGATGTACCCCTTGTTTTTCTGTAGACACAATTCCAAGGAATAACGTAAACTGTGCTTTCGTTTTAGGCAGAGAGGAAAAGTTTTGTATGCCTCTTTGGAGGTGTGAGTGTTCCTTCACTCTTCAGGTATATATTTATAAAATATTTAATAGAGGCAGACTAAACAAAATGAAGGTCTGAATTCACAGTGTGCTAGTTAAGCTGAAACCAAAGTCATGTTGAAGTGAATGAGGCTGGAGTAAATTTAGCTGCTCTTCTAAAAAGAACACTCACGAAAGAGCGTTGCTTATCCTTTGACATTTCATATTAGTTTAATTTGATTTATTTAATGAGCTGATCACAGACGCTCAAAGTTCAAATTTTGAGATTACTTATTAACTATTTTTTATTTGACCTTTACTTTATTTGCAGTGAGTTTTGTTGCATGGCTAGAATTTTTCATTTTTCCCCCTTTTTCTTTTGTCCTAAAAAAAGCTCATGTGCTCCTCTGACTACGGAGAACATTTTACTCTGCTGTGTTCCAAACTGATCATGGAAATCTTCTGTTTTTCTTTTTAACCTTGTTTTATAAACAAGTCTTAGCCAACCAGTACCTTTTTATGTAGGGTAATAATACTGGTTTCTTTGTGACATTTCACAGATGTTCAGCTTGGGTTTGAGAATCTGTAATTCTTACGGTTCATTACTCATTTCCAATGAAATTCCTGTGGGTTTAATGTCTTGACCTAAAACGATTTAAGACATTTAATTTTTTCTGTTCATTAGAATGTGTCCTGAGAGATTTCTGTAGGTATAAATAATGCTAGCTGAAATTAGGTTTTTTGAGTGGTAATTCATGGAAAAATACTTAACATTTATGTTTTACTCAAAACTTTGTGTGTACTGTACTTGCAAAAACAGGTATTGCTCCACTGAGGTCTATAAAACCATTTTATCTGACACTTGCTTTTCTTACACGTATTCAGGCATAAGTGGATCACTACAACTGAAACAGCTTAAACTATGACTGAATTACAGTGCAAAGATTTTAGCAGATCTATAGCAAGATCATCTATCTTCCTTCATGTACAAGTTTAGAAAATATACAAGGATTTTCACAGTTACTTTAATGGCTGTAAGGAGTCCAGCCTAGATGAAGAGCTTGAGGGAGAAATTTGAATTCACAAGAAAGGTCCAGCTGTACTACTCTGGCACTAATCACACGTGGAGCTCTGGTTAGGAAGTTATCTTCTCCAGCATCTGAACATCCCTTGCCTGACTGGATAGGTCCTACAAGTGAAAATTAATTAAAAATAAAAAATAAAGAAAGTATCCACCGGGAGACCATGGAAGTGAGAAAACAGAGGAAGAAGGCTTAAAATGCTCAGAGTAAGAGAAGTTCCAGGTGGAATGTTAGCAAGAAAAATGTTGCCCGTTTCAATTACGTCTTTTGAAGTTTCTGTGTATGACTTTATAAAAAGAATTGCTTCTAATAAAAGCTACTCCAAGCTGCCCTGAATCTTAGAGATCTAAAATATGGGTAGAATCATACAATTGCTATGAGAAGACTTAGCAGGGTCTTAAATATGCCTTAATTTTACATAGATCTGTGACAACATGAAATGGGAAGAAATAGAGACCCTACCGGAAATGCCGGGGAAGGGAACGGGCTGCTTTTCTCAGCCAGGTTGCAACTTTTTTACTTCAGCTGATGACTCTATTTAAGGACTTTGAGTGAGATGCTGTTAACGCTGACGCTGTTTCTAATGATTCATTAACGCTGGCCTTCCAGGAATAATAAAGCAGTTGTCAGAAATTACACATTTGAAAAGCCACTGTGCTACCATAGAAATGTGTAACAGTGAGTAAAGTACATACGTGTTTTAGATTTATACTTTTGCTTGTGGTAAGACTACTCCTTTTGCTTCTGTACTTCATCGGTCTCTAGAGGATGGCCCAGGAACTCGCAGTGCTCCCAGCAGAACACCTAGGGAGCTTGTACTGTGTCACTGAGCAGAATGAAATGTTTCTTTAAGTTGTATGCGCTGTTTAAAGTATTTTCCAAGAAAAACAAAGCTAACCTCGGTTAAAAAAAGAGAAAGACCAAACAAAAAATCCCCGAAAGAACACACAGTGTAAGGCTGCACATGCGTTAAGTGAGCAACATGTCACTTATTTCTGAAATGCCAAGTTTGTTTCATTTTTAGCCCGCAAATTCACAGACAAGCACGAGTGGATATCAGTTGAAAATGGCATTGGAACAGTAGGAATCAGCAATTTTGCACAGGTATTGATCCTTCCCCCCTTACACAAGCCTGCAATATTTATTTACGCGTAACTGCTCTTGCCCTTGCTCTTTGGACAGTTCATGGTTGTTTGGGTTTTTTATTGTTCTAATTGCATATGCTATACAATGAGTGTGGGTTTTGGACTTGGATCTGTCACTTTATTTGTGAAATGAGTGCTGCTTCAGCATTCTGATAAATTCTTAATCACCTCCAATTGAGCCTACAAAGAGCTGAACTTACTGAAAAAAAAAAAAAGGGGTCAGCAGAATTTAAACACTTCATTATTACGAGTTCTGATAGGCCTGAGGAGTTGGTGGCTACATGAAGAAGATATCATGCACTTTTTAGGCCAAACTTCCCTTGAACATGAATATGATACAATCCCCCTGGCTGAAGAACAATTGTGAGTGGAAATACAACAAGGCCTATATTCTTTCCTGTAGGATAGGAATTCCTTTGGATCTTTTTTGGCTTTGTTTTGTTCTCATGCAGGTAGTTGATTTGGAGTAGTCACAGGCACATTCAGGATAGAGATGCACTGTATGTGAAAGTTAAGAAAAGCTAAAGTGAGAAGCTATCAGGGAAGTGGAATTAATGCTTCTTAGGAGAAGCACCAGTTCCTGTAATCTCGGTTTGCTGTAAATACACCAGTGGTCTCTAAGATCCTAAGGCTTTTGTGAGACAGGATACGTTTGCCAGTGAAGAGGCAGGTTTTTTGTCCGTTTGAGCCAATTGTTACAGTGATAAGGCTCCTTATTAAGTCAGTAACAACACACCATGTGCTAACAGCTCTCCAGTTGTCCCTGTCTCTGCAGAGGAATCTTTGTGTTTTCTTACAAATTGCACTGGAAGTGAATCCTCTGTGTTTTGTAAAAAAGAAAAAAAAAAAGATTCCCTCAAATTGTTGGGAACTTTGTCCTTTAAAACAGTTGTTACTCTAGCTGATGCTAAGATCAGCAGATGTTACTTCTCATTTTGCCGGAAGAAATGTGTATATAAACTTGTAACTCAGCCTCAGGGTTATTAACACATTAATAGATAAGCAATAATTTGGCATCTGGGGGATGATAACAAAATAGTTTTTTTCAAGTTATATATTTAAAAAGAAAATGTGAAAAATGTGCAGTCCTAAAAGAATGAGAACTAAATTAAGAGATTGCTTCTATACACATTCTAGAGCTACTGTACCAGATCTCTCCCATGTATAGTTTCTTTAATGTATGCTTTCATGCTTTTATTTTTCTTTTAAGGAAGCATTAGGAGATGTTGTTTACTGTAGTCTTCCAGAAGTTGGGACAAAATTGAGTAAACATGGTAAGTTTCAGCTCTAACTTTTAATGAAGTAATTCTATTCATCCCACTCTCCCTTTGCAAAGGTGTATTTTATGAAGTGACCTTTACCATTACAAACCTCCGGGATACAAAATAAAATTAAGGTATTTCTGTAAAAGACAGCTTTAATTTCAGATTCACACTCTCAGACCATGCATGGTAGCAGAAAAATACCTGCTTATTAAATTGTTAAGGCAGTTATTTAAAAATCAAGTATTTGAAATACCTTTTCATAATTTTATCTATGCTGTGTTAAAAATACTTAAGCTTTGATTTGAACTTGCTAGTGTTTAGGCTGCTTATTTGTAATTCTGCAGTTAAACATTTCGTGAGTTGCATGATGTGAAACATCAAAGTGATATCGAGTTTTTCTATGAACATACAGACTTAGTAATTTTTGGGTGTCAACTGGAATCATAGCTTTTTTGGTCATTAGTGACGTACAAATCGTTACACTCTTAATCATTTTGTTATGTAATTTTCCACGTTAAAGAAGAGTGAGCATTAACAGGTAGAAAGGAAAAGCCTATTCCTCTATGTGGAGAGCTGTCTCACTAATATATGAAGAAAAGATTGTCATCAGCTTCAGCCATTGCAGAAAAAGAAAATGTAGGTTTTGGTGAGGTAAAGCAGCAGCGCCTTCTTCTGCCATCCCTCCTGTGGAGTAGGTCCATACCAAACTGTTTTGGCCAAATCTGTCGCATTGCATTGAATCATTCATGTTACACAAAAGGCCTTTCTCTTTAGAGTTTTAATTAACCACTTTGTAGTTTTGTTTTTTCTGAGGCAATTTCATTTCCATTTAGCTCTTCTCTTTTCTACCCGTTCTGGCCTTAAGTCTCATTCCAGGCTTTGCCAGGACACGTTCTCTGATTCCTTGTGCTGATGCCTATCTACTCTTCTGACAGCTCCGTGTTCCTCCAGCCTCTGTCTGGTGTGTTTGTGGCTTAGAGCTACTTTGGACTAATGTTGCTCCAGGCACCATTTCCATAACTGCCTACAAAATAGAAAAAGGGAAGAGCAGCCGGGTGATTTCAGTGTGGTGCTTCGGAATACTAATGTGTGTTTTCCAGTGAGTGCCAGTCTAACACTTGATAGTGTTTCTGAAGAAAAGCTGTGATTCCTGAAATTGTGGCTGTGTCTATTTTATCTACAATTTAAACCTTGCTATACATAATTTGGTTATAAAAGATATATTGAGGTCTCTTGCAGCCAGAGCTGGATGTGGTTCTTTCTGTCCCCGTGTCCTATGCTGTAGGGCTTTAGCCTAAGGATTCGCCAAACAGAAGTTTCTGTCCCTTCTGTAGTAGCCAGCTAGCTAGCGTTATGCAAGTTACCCAGACTAATTCAGGAACATAAACATCAAATTTAATGCTGCTGGTCAGTGTCATAAAGTTGGTAACTTCAATCTCTTTGATGGTTTCCTTGCTCAAGACCAAGACACTTCTTCTGTGGCTAGGTCATCACCAGAATGTCCGACTAAAAAAGATGAAGCACTTTGCATTTCCTCTTTAAAAGCATTTTATCGTATTCTCTGTTTCAGATGAGTTTGGAGCTTTGGAAAGTGTGAAAGCTGCTAGTGAACTCTACTCTCCTCTCTCGGGAGAAGTGACTGAGATTAATGCTGCCCTTGCAGATAATCCAGGGCTTGTCAATAAATCTTGTTATCAAGATGGTAAGATGTCATTTTTATTTTTCAATAATGAATGCCACTCAGATTCTTGCTATGACAAATGACTCTGCAATTCCTAGTTCTTCTAGTTTAATGGTGTGGAGGCTTAAATGAAATATATTGAATATAGTTCAAGACCAATAAAATTTACCATGGAAGTATTACTGTAGTCTTGTCTCTGCTGACAGCTGTTTCACAAAGTGTTCTTTTCAGACATAGACCATGGCTGAATTTAAATGTTTCTCTTGATCACGTTTTTCTCTTTTCGTCTTTTAATGGCTCGTGATACTGAGAGTTTGGGCTCTTTTACTCTTTCTAGACAGTGTCTAGAGACAGTTCTAAATTAGACAACTGGACTGACTCAAAATGCCATTTCTTACAACAGGTTGTTTGTTCATTTTTAGAAAAGTATTGAAACAACATTTTGCCCACACAAGAATCCTGATGATTCTGCCATTGTTACAGGGCTTGCACACCCACTGGGAGTGCTTTTGTAAGGCAGTAACACTAATTTTTCTTATAGGATATCAGCAACTGTTTTCCTTTTTAATTTCCTAACTACAGGTTGGCTTATCAAGATGACTGTGGAAATTTAACTTGATGAACTGATGAGTGAAGATGCCTATGAGAAGTACATAAAATCCATTGAGGACTGAGCTGGAATGATGAAATAAATCCATATAAAATATTTCAGTGTAATTTGTCATCAATCACTGAAATAGAAAATACCCAGTTTTGACAACCTGAAAAAATACCACTTAGGATATACAAGGCCAGAAATAATTTCAGTGATAAAAAAGCTTGACATCTGAATACTTGCACGGTTTGTTTTTTTTTCCTATTCTGATTTATGTAACTTCAGGATACTGGGAAAGAAAGTTTATTTGCTGAAGTATGTAATTCCCAAGATTCATTTGACAATCAAATTTAGTAACAGCAGCCTTAATATGGTAATTCTGTAGCAGGCACGTGACTCTTCTCTCAACCTGGACTACAGCTTTCCCTGAAATACTTTTCTGTTGCTCCCAAGGTACTGAAAAACAGTGTCTCTCTAACTTCCTAATATCTTTCCTAATTATAATTGTAAAGATGATGCCAAAAAAGAAGCCATGTCAACTACCTCTTTGTGTGATTTTTACTTCTTTACAGAATTTATTAATCCTGTGTTTTCCTTCCTCATTTTACTATGTAATCAAATAGTTCCGCCTCTGAGGCAGAATGTACGGTTCTTCAGATTTGTGTGCTTGCTTAGGATGCAGAACTTGTGCACTGACAGCTTATCGAGGTTCTAGAGTGGAATGTTCAGGCTGTACTTTTTGTCTAAGCAAACATTACCTGTGTCACAAGCAATTGGGAATTCTACATCTTGTGCCTAGCAATTGTGGGGCTGTCAGAAAGGGTAGCTACTGGTGAAAATTGTTGACCAGGAATAGTTTGACACATAATGTATCCACGTGTGTCTGTCTTTAAGATCAAGTAGGCACACAGAGTTTGGATCTCTGCTGTAACGACATCACAGGAATGAAACTATAACTTTGCAAACGAGTAAACTGAAGCGGCTGATTCCATTAGACTTAATATTTAATGAATCCACAAATGTGCACTCCAAGTTGATGTGACATTTAAGGGTAAGATTGAGTTGTACAGACCTGCACTTTAGGAAATGTAATAGTACCGCAGAGGTTTTGTCTAAAACTTTTTTTCCACAATTTTGAAATGGCAATTGGAAGCAGAAAACAGGAACAAAAACCAAGTGTCTGCAAGTCATTCTAAGAGGAAGTAGGAGTAAGATGACAAAGGCAAAAGTCGTATTTCTTTGGAAGTTCCTTTCAAAAGCACAGCCCTCCTAAAGGGCGTAAATGCACTGCAGGTTATACAGAAACCATTCTAACGTATGAAAATATAGGGCTTCTTTAACAATCTGAAGAGATGTTGAAGTAAGTGGTGTGGTTTTGAAATCCTAAGGGCTAATTTTCCCTGCCTAAGTCACAGATAAAAGCCCTGTCAAGAGAGACTCCGCTGTGTATTTAAGATAAAACTCTTCTCCGCGGGAGCTAAACTGCAAAGTGACTGGGAGGGAAGAGAGGGTTTGACTGTTCCACAGGAGTCCTAACTTGGCAGTGGCTGATTAAACAAAAGGCTCGAGTAAACCTCATGTAAATGCTTTAAAAACTGTCAGTACTTATCCTTATTCACAGTATTGTGCAGTATTTACTGTGACAACGTTCAGGGCCCCGAGAGCTGGGAGCTTGATCCTGGCCTCTTTTAGAGACTCCCTGCTTCAGTTTGGGTCTCTGACCTCCCTGTGCACTTTGCCTGGGCAAAGAGAAAGTTTGTTTCAAATTGGAATGAGTGCAGGGAAATGGAGATAGGAACCCGGGAAAATGTTTCAGTTTGGTACTGTTTCTTCCACTCTAGTTTTTTTCCAGCTTTACCAGCCAATAATCGGCCCTTCGTTCATTGTCATGTAATATATGACCCTTGTGGATTTTCCTTCAAGGGTGAGTTGAGAGCATTGTAATGCATTTTAATAGGTTTGTGTTTTTTTCTATTAAAACGCTTGTATTCTTTCATTTAGATCATTGAAATATGAAATAGTAACTTCTGAAACCCCCTAAGGAACCTGGGAAATAGTAAAACCAGGCAAACCTGATCTTCTCCTCAAGCTTTGCCTTCATCTGTGTATTAGTAGTGTACACATGAGTACGGATGAATGACAACATTCTGGAGAAAATACTTGAAATGAAATTCAACTTTTCTTTCCTAGTGTATAATTGGAGCGTAGATGTTCTTTTGTTTAAAAAGGAGGACTGGGAACCTCTCTATCCCTAGTTCTTTTAGGGTTTTGTATGACCTTAAAGTGATTTATCAGATTTCCTAACTTCTCTTAATATGGGAACAGTAATACTTGGGTGCTTTTCTTGTGTGCTTTATGCTGAGAGCTCCTGTGTTTTGCAGTTATTTAGGCCAAAGGATGTCTATCAGAGCAAATACTCTTATATTTTCCTACAACCCACTCAACTACCTGAATTATGCTGCCAAAAGAATGTATTCTTCCTTGTTTGATGTGTGCTACCCAAGTAGAGCTGTTAAGCTTTCAAATAATCCCATAACTTCACTACATTCAGCAGCAGCAGCAGGAAGCCTGGGGCAGAGCACCGTGCGCTGGCTGGAGCCAGACTCTGAAAGAGCCTGAATGCAAAACTTGCCAACACGAATCCATAATGAATGCCTTTCATCAAAATAAAAAGATGGAGTGAACGTGTATTAGCTTTGATCTATGACACAGTTTTAAATGCTTTTGTGTAAATCGTAGGGGAAAACAACAAACTTGTTCACTGGTGTGTGCTCCTACAGCAAATTAATAAAGGAGATGATTTTTTACAAAATTACCACTTTATCTGTGAACTCTTAAGTCTTGATCCTGAGCTTAAGAACTTAACACTTACAATTAATGGAAGCTAAGCATTACAGACTCAGTAGAGAGATTGATTTTGTGGCAATTTATGATTTCCATGCTTCTCCCACAAGCACCAACTATGTCTCTGTACATCCTAGGGGTTAATTATATTGTCACCTTTTTTCTTGCCAACACTTCCTTTCTGTTCCACTCTACCTACCCCTTTATCTCTCAAATTATCTAACCAAATAATAAAAGCTAAACTTGAGACTATTTTTTTCAGTCCATACTTAGAATCAACATCAGTCGTGGAAGGACTGCATACCTATAACTTTGTTTTTCAACCAATGAAGTGCTGCCTCTCCCTGTGAATTGTGACCCATCATGTATATAGATACAATCATGGAATTGTTACTTCTCACCAGAGAAAAAAAAAATCTATGCCATAAGTCTAAAAGAACAGAAATACATAAATATTAACACTTAGTGGTGTGATGAGCACAAAACTAGGGCAATGTCAGCTTCATTGTCATTAAGTTAGAGAATTACTTCATCTGCTATGGTGATTAAAAGCGCAGCAGCTCTCAGGGTGTAGTGCTTCCCTTAACTGGTGTCTGCAGATGGTGTCCTGTCAATAAGGACCCGCTTTCCTTTTTCTTCACACTGATTGACTGGGAATTTACAATCTTCTGTAGCAATGGCTCCTATCTCAGAGTTTTAACACTCAACTGACACACAAAGGACATATCATCTATCTTCACATCAGCCTGGTCATGTGAGTGAACAGAGCTGCACCAATAACTCAGCAAAGAATGATCCTCAGCTCCTCAACTGAACACGTGAGGCTTTTCTGTGGTGATGCTGGGAGACATCGCACAGCGAGAGGCAAAGACTGCACCACCTGCACGCCATACATTCTGGAGAAGAGAACAGTGCATAATTCAGTAATTGCACAAGTTCACCTGTGGGTAGAACGTGCCAGGTCAGCTGGTGACCTGTGCTGATTTAAATCAAGGTAACACCCAAGTCATGGCCTGGCTCCATCATGCGGGGCCCTCCCAGGTGGGGGCAGCTCCGGGTTCCAGCTCCCCCACCACAAGGTATCGCAGCTTAATCATCTTTCTCCTTCACCTTAATCATCTTTCTTCTCCCCCAGTCTCCACTTCCTGCCTAAAATCTGGCTGTGTGAGGAAGGGTTTTGCACAGACGGTCTAAAATGTTATCAAGTTCCAAACACGATGCCAGCTGTTAAGTCGAGCAGCCTTTCAATAACAGAGGTTACCGGGAGTTTGGGAAAAAACACCTTCCACCGAGGTCTCAGGTCAAACTGCTTTTCCGTTAGTGAAGGCACATCAGTCTCAGACTGCAAAGGCCACCTGCATAACACAGCATCATTTCTACAGACAAACATATTTTAATGTGGTGAAATGTGACCGGACTGATGGAAAAAGGAACATCCTTCGGTAAGCCGTTCCCAGGGAACGTGACCACATGGATGCGAGACATCATTAAATGAGACTCTTGAGCCATGCCCACCAGTGTAAGTTACCAGCAAGATGTGCTGCAGCTGGCACAGGCAAATGGGAGAGTGTCCTCGATGTAATTTTCTCCACTTCCCCCACACTACTTGAGACAAAGTCTTAGAGGAAGAGTTCTTGGCAGGAGAATTCAGTCTGTGGTATCTGGATTGAGTAGAGTTTGCCTCACAATATTGACATCCTTCTCTTGCCAAAGCATAATTCAGTCACTTCAGACCTGATCTATTTTAATGCAGTACAAGTGTCCTATAGCCGCTGCTATTAGGCCGTTTTATTTGTCACTTGTTTATACTGTTTAATTATTTATTCTACTGAATGTATTTTGCTCAGAGATGTATTCTAATGGAGGTACAGCACTTGTACCTCTCTCTAACCATGAAAGTCAATCCACAAGATAGGAGGATGAGTTTGCACTTCTTAGGACTCAAGAGCACCTCTGTTTTTCAGCATCACCCCTCTCCGTCCTTCACTGTATGGGTCTGCATCCAAAAAAATGACAAAGAAATAAAAATATTGGTAACTCCTGTCTTTTCTGACAATCTCTCACTTGTGCCACAACTGGGAAGGCAAAGCCAGAGACACAACTGGTGTAATATCACCATCACACAGCTTTTTATTTTTTTCCTTTTCTGCAATATATCGTCCTCATCTACAACTGTAACATTTTTGCAACTTTCTATTAGACTAAGGGGCATTTCTTACATCGAGTTGGCCTGGTAAATGTGTTAGACAACAAAGAAGAAAATTCAG